CTGTCGTGCCAAGTGGGTGACAAAACTACAACAAATAATAATTTTGCCACGTCGGTTGCTTCTACTGCAATTAGCATGCTACTACCTCTTCTTGTTTTGCTACTTCTAATTACTCCTGCTGCTACGAATACCGCTGCGAACACTACTGCTGCTGAGGCAGCTTCTTCATCGTGTGTTGCTACCTGTGCTGCTACTTCTGCAGCTGCCACAGATGCTGCCGCTTCTTACAAAAAGGAGATCGATGACCGCGACTTCTTTTGCTGCTGTCCTCTGCTGATGTCGAATCTGCCATTTCTGTTTGTTTTCCTGCTACTACTCAGCTCGTGCGCTGCCATGCTGCAGTTCCTGCTGAGGTCATTTCTGGCCATGACATGCCGCAGCTGTTGGGAACTGTCCCGGAAGCTGAAGCTCTCGAAGCCCCAAGTCTCCAGTGATTTCATCGCTAGATCTCCAGGGTTTGGGTTTCGAGCTCCAGCCTTCTACCTGCTTAGTCCTTCTTTGCCAATATAGACAATGCCACATATCCGGCGGGATCGCGATGCTCCAAGTTGTGCTCGGGGCTGTTGATAGCAGAATTTCAAGTGCTTCATGTAGCTCGGAACAAATCAGTCAGAGCTGCACGTCCTGAGAGCCAATCTGGCGGGGCCCGGCTCGAGTTTTTTGTTTGCCAGAATGGGCGTTGAATCGTACTAGAATGCACTGATGCCTGGCAGAACTGTGGGTTGCTGGCCTACGCAAAGATCTCATTCCCCGACTCTCTGACCTTGGACCTTTGCCCACTCCAAGTTCGCACAGAGCATCAGGAGGCATGGGCACTGCGCGATTGAAGGTCGGATTGACCCACAACCGAGCCAAGAGCACTTGCCCCATTGCGACAACTGCAGGGTCCTGTGCTTCAGAACTGTAGGAGATATAGGAACGGAGGTCGAGTTGACCGAGGATGGAAGGTGGATCTAGCCAAAGATTCGGGTTGAGATAGAAAAACCTGAAGCGACTCGACAAACAAGTCCCCAACCCGACCTTGTAGACTTGTAGAGGGTTCAGAGCAAGTGCAAACCAATCAGCCACCAAGACTGTCCATTCATGTCCTTTCCAGTGGCTTCTTGAGGGCCTTCAGCTGTTCGATTCCTGTCTGTGATTTGCGCCCGCTTCTTGCCCGTGCAATGCTGCTCGCAAGCTCAATCCCTCGCCAGTCTCTTGATTGGAGGAGGCGTCAGGGAATCTCCTGTGTCTCTACCTTCTGCCCGCCACTGGCAAACACTTTCTGGGTCGCGGCACAACGAATGGTTGAGAACCGAACCGACGAATCCTGCAGCGACACTGGCTTCCTGTAGCCGCACCACAGATGCCAGATCCAGGTTTGCAGAGAGTTTTGTGTACAACTTTGCGGGCAGTTCTCTAAATTAGGGTCCCTGTTCAGGTCCCCTAATTATAAAAAAAACCCTAAACCTGTGAGGCTAACTTTTTTTTCTTACCGACTGCGCTTGAGACCTCGCCTGGATTCTCCGAGCTGTGGGAGCGTAAACCGCCGTATTTTTTTTCGGGTCCCCTACAAAACTCAGAACTGCCCCTGTAGAACCCTAAACCCTAGACCCTAAACCCATGCAACACTGAGAACTGCCCCCCGGTAGCAGTGAGCAAGCCAACAAAGCGCCGAAGGCGCAGGAAGCTGCTCCTTCAGAGGTGAGTCGAGCTGGGGTTCCTAAGCAGTTTGCCTTGGTCTAGCCTTTTTTTATTCTTATATTAGTTATAACAAAACACACAATAGCTGCCAAGCTGCTCATATTTTTACTAACCTTTTAGTCTTATTATTAGTTATACAAAACACAATATCTCTACTATACTTTAATATATCTTTATTACTATCATTAATTACTAGTACTATCCATTACTAGTAATAGTGCGGGCACTGCCACTATCACTATTACTAAGATTCATGCTGTTATTATTACTATGACTATGACTTACACTGTTGCGTTTTGCTAATACCATGTCTCTTACTCTTTCTGTCTTTCTCCTGCGTATGGCCACTTTGTTGAACTACTTCCAAAAGCGTTTTAGTCGTACATTCTCATGATGTCCATTCCTACGTTCTGGGTGGACTTACTATTCCTAGTACTATCAGTATGACTCTTACTATTGCGC